ATGACCTGTTTTTCATTTATGCCATAGTAAACTGAAATGTGGAGTATGGTAATAAGATACTAATACCTTTGCAATTGGGAGAGATCTTGACCATTTGTGGGTATTTTCTGCCCCTAAATCACAAAATAAAGATAATCAAAAATTAAAGTAATTGCCCAGCTAAAAACTGGTAGGAGGGATGAAGTGTCAGTGTGCTGAAGGACATAAAAGGAAAGTCTTGGTTGTCCTAAGCCTTTACTTACTGAAATCCATGACTTTTACTGAATGGAGATATTTACATATGAGTCTCTATTTTTAAGCACTAAGCAAGACACTTTAAAGATATCATATCGTAACTTAGTTTAGCCACTGACATTCAAGGTTTCCTTAGGCCTTAGAACATCTCTTTTCCTGGTTCCTTTTTCTTTCTTAAAGCTGAGTTAGAATAGCAAAATTCATAGACTAAGAAATACTGTAGCAAGTGTTGCTGTCATGTGTATTTCTGAATTTGAAGTAAGTTGTGTATTGCCTATTGTTAGTAATTTAAAAAAATCTTTATGTACATAACTCTTACGAAAATATTAGCTGGACTGTAAAGTATACTCTTTGGAAAAAAGATCACTCATCTCAAAGATCAAGGTAATCATTCCAAAGATGTGTCATTTCTGCCTTTGATGGCATATTGCATCCTGAGATAGGCAGACACAGGCTGAGAGAGGTACCAGTGATTGTCGAAAGAACAGTTGCTTAATTTTATGCTGTTAGATTAAGAGATAAGTGAACTCTACCTTCTTAGAGGGTCTACTAGAAATTGGCTATGATACCCATTGAGCTAAGTTATCATATCATGTTCAACCTTGTATAAACACATAGAAGTTGTGAAACTGCTTCAAGTAATTAGTGGTTACAGAGTACTGTAGGAAAACCTGTTGCTTCAATATGCAGAATATGAGATTATCCCTTTCGTAGAGTTTGGTCACCCCCAATTTCATGTGTCAGAGTGAAGAGGAAATTATGTACTGTATCACAATTATTTAAGTAGTTATTAAATATATTTGAATATGTATGTATTTATATGTATGCGTGTGTGAGAGTGTGTGGATGTATAGTCTACATCTAGCCCGATATCAACTCAAGCACTTATTCCTTAGTTCACTTATTCCTAACTTTAATCATAGACTCTGAGAGGACTCTGTTGCCTAAAAATATTTTCATGTTTGTTGGTGTGTGTGTATGTGCACACACCAATGTACTTGTGTATACATGTGTGCGTGCATGCTCATTTTGGGGAAAAGAGGAGCTCTAGCATTCATAAGATTCTCAAATAATTGGACCAAAGAGAGTTAAGAACTGTCTTTGTGTATTTTATGACTTTGCATATATTTGCACCCATCAAAACAAACTAAGACAAAATGATGTTGAAAAGCATGCACCCTTTTAGTTTATTGTTCCATTTTCACCTCCTCAGCTGTAAGCATACAATGTTGTCCTCAATCTTTCATCTCTGAAAATACTCAGTTTGGAGCAATACCACATAAATAGCAGCTTTCAGATGACTCTCAAAATTGTATTACAGAAATTCTTTCATGAATAGCCAAGCATCTCTTGGAAAACCTTAAGGCAAGATAGATGCCTTCTACAAAATGGGCCCCCTTTGAAATGATAGTGCCACCTGCTTTTCACCATCTTGTTTTAAATGGATTTTATATGGCTCCAATAGGCTGGAGATAACAACACATGCTTTTTTATTATCATCCAGCTACCCTGTGAGATGTGATTAGGCAATCGTTCTAGAGTGTCACAGCTAGGAAAGGGCAGAACAAGGATTTAAACCGAGTGTTTCACTTTCTTCATTTGTTTATCCAGTATTTTAGACAAGAATGTAGGTAGACAGCAGTGACCAAAATACCCCTTCCCTCAAAGTTACCTTCTGTTTCTGTTTGGTGAGCCCAAGAAGGGGGTAAAAAAGGCCATTAAATTTTGCTGTGTGACACATCACTTATTTAATTATTCAACTCAGCCCTTTCTATGTAGTAACATTCTTAATGTAGTACTTAAGCATGTTATCTATCTTGAAGACTGTGGGGGCATTTTTTCCACCACTAGTATAACTTTAATATTATTTGCTATATATGGCATAAGCAATTATAAACCTTGAAGGTAGCAGCGAGAATTTCTTTTTCTTTTTTTTTTTTGGAGAGATTTTCACTATAGGGCGCGGGCGCTCGCCAGACAGAGACAAAGAAAGCGAGAAATCACCCCCCAGGGGGATGGTCACGCCGCAATCCCTTCTCCTCCATTCTCCTCTCGGGATCTTGGTCACGCATGCACACGCACCCGGCGTGAGTTTTAAGCCACCGGGTCTGGGACGTGAACCGCGGTTGACTACATGGGAGTCCAGCGACATAACCATTATGCTAACTGCTGGTTCCCACCCCCAGGAATTTCTGAAGATGCCTCAGAAGCATCATTCAACAATGTGGAGACTACATTAGGGACTACATTATACTTTGATAACAAGACATTGTAGAAACCTTTATAACTCAGTGTGTCTTATAAACACATTGCGCACTTCCACATATACACCCCCAAATATACATCTTTTGCCCAGTCCCATTTCAGTCATCGGTTTTTATTTTTTTGCTTGACTCATAACCTGACAACTTAGGCAAATAGACGCTGGCCAACATATATTTCTCTGTACTTCTTTAGGTAACTAAGTACACTATGAAGACAATAGTAGTCACTTACTGATAACCTGAGAAACAAATAATGTCATTTTCTTGGTCTGTGCTAGATTGGAGCTCTTCCACTGACAACTTAGATCTTAGGTCCTTTTTTTTTTTTTAAGACGTTTTTGCCTTAGGGCATGTGTGCTCACCAGAGACAGAGACAGCGAGAGGGAAAATATGAAATTATTGCCTATAGTGTATGGCCACACTGCAATCCCTTCTCCTCAACTTCCCTCCCAGGATCTTGGGCACGCACACACACATGCCCGGAGTGAGTTTCAAGCCACTGGGTCCAGGACTCAAACCACAGTCGGCCAGGTGGGAGTCCAGTGACGTAACCCCTACACCATCTGCTGACCCTTAGGTCTTTTAATTTTCTTTTTATCATGCTGAGATTTTAAACAAAGTGATACTCAAATTATTTCAAGTTCTGTGTAGAACAAATAGTAATTTCAATGCAACAAATATGAATTTGTGGCTTAGAATCATGTTCAGAAAGTACTCGATTAAAAGGTAGAACATTAATGATGCAGAGTCCCATGTGGGAGACTTCAGAGCCTTCACCTGCTACTTCCATGGGCTCTGTGTCCACATCAAAGAATTATCAGGAGGGTTATAGATTATAAAATGGATAGAATAGTTCTATAATATGCAGGTCCTTTATATATTTAAAAGGGATGTTGTATTTTAAGTATGTACTATGTGCATAAAAATCATGCTCAGTTGTGACGTCCAGTATTTAATTCAACCAATCAGAATCTTCATATGTTGAAGCAGTGCTTGGGGTCAGATCATTAGATGGTTAAAAACCAGGTATACCTTTTAAAAATTCTACTATCAGCCCCAAATATAGCATTTGTGCCTCAGAAGGTTCTGATTCACCAGGGCTTAGTACCTAGGAATAGCACTCCTATCAATTCAAATATTTATTTTTGATGGCTGTAAACAAAGAATTATGTTACCAGTAACTCATAAAAAGACTCAGGCAGCCCAGGTCCATAGAGATAAAATAAGTTGGGAAATAAAATAATTCAAGGGTGAGTTTAATGTGTACTGTAATTCAGGCCTCAGTACTGAATGACACTTAGTGAAAGAAATGTTCTCTTAGTTGCATATAAGGCCTTCTTTGGGGACCTGGGTTATTTATTCACCACCACTCAAAATTAATAGCTAAGTGACTAAGCCTCAAATGCACCAAGGCCATGTGAATTTGGCTTAAACTTGGCAAGTAAAGCAAATGAGAAGACAAACTGGTGATCAGGGGATCTAATTGGAGCTCAGCATTTCCAAGGGAGTTGTAGATGCATGCTGCTAAGAACTCAACTAGTCTTAACCATGGGTTTTATTGCTTCCTCAGACATCTAATCCTGAGCCACCCCTGATTCAACAACTTCGTGTCCTACTTCTCTTTAAATAGTTCATTCTGATACGTTTTTTCCTGTGTCTGCTTAATCATGTGACCTCCTTTCACTGGGGAGGGCAGGTTTTCTCCTTATCTCTTCCATCCATGTCTGTTCTTAGCTAAGGGCTCCAGGCTCAGTAAGGCTGCCCTCCTCTCTGGACAAAAGGGCTGACCTCAAGGTCAGCAGCAGTAAGGGTTGGGCCTATTCTGTAATCAGATCACAAGTCCAGGGCAGTCCACCATGAGCACAGCTGTACATAAGAAAAGGACGATGGCAACATTTATCATGCTTTCCCTCCACAAATAAACCTGGTCATTTTATTTTTGCTGTTGTAAAACAAAAATAAAAACAAAAACAAACAAACAAAACTGATGTTCTATTAAATGTTTGGGCCTCATCCGCTATCATAAATCTCATAATGGAGGTATGATCTCTGTCCTTGTTCCTTTCATTGAAAGTGCTAATGAATTGAGGGTTGATGGATGATGCCTTTAGGGTTAAAAATTCTTATTTTCAATTTTTTAAAGTATTGAAACTTGGTATTTCTACTGAGACTCCTTCACAAGTGGCAAAGTCCCTTATCTGTGGAATTCTTTGAATCTTTTGGGTCTTCATTTGCTTTTGTGCACCTGTTATTTATTCCTCTGAACTGAACTTGAAGAGTTATTTAAAATAGAAACCAAATCATCCATATTCTTGTTTTGGGTGCAGGCACTGATCAGTAACATGGATTAAAGAAACAGATTATCTTCTCTTTTCTTACCTTTCTCCTCCCTGCACAATACCAAGGAAGAAGAGGGAGAGAGGAAAAAAGATACAGGAGGCATACATGTTCAGGGCTGTAAA